TGTTGTGCCAATGTGTCAATGAAGCCCAGTCAAACTGGGACTTACATGTTCTGGGCGTGCTCGCCGCATATAGTTCCGCCCCGCATGCTTCTATCGGATTTTCCCCATTTTATTTAATGTATGGAAGGGAGCGTGACCCACCAATTGATGTGCAGCTCAAGCCACTGGAAAATTGTACAAAGATGTCGAACCCCATGCGTCTTACCCTACAGCGTTTGGCAGAAGCTAGGGAGGCGTCTCGGGGGAACTCGTCCTTGCGGCAGGCGGCCAACGAACGGCTCGTCAAGCCCCGCCAGTCCACAACTATATGCACGCCAGGGGACAAGGCGTGGCTCCACTGCCTCCATGTCCCAATGGGTACCTCCCCGAAATTACACAAACCATGGCAGGGCCCGGTCAAAGTGGTGGAGGTGAGGAGTCCGCAGTGCGTGCGGATTCAGTGTGGTCCTGGCGCTGGTTTGTGTACCCGTCGCGACTAAAACTTTTTTTCCACCTGACGTTAACCTTTCATCCACACTTCCCGAGGGCCGGGTGTCTGGTCAGTCTGATGAGCTGGGGCACGCGTCGGCTGATGTCCTTCCTCAGGACAGTTATATTGTTCCGCCCACAGGGTCCAAGTGCCTATCGCCCCCAACGTCACAGGTAGTGCTGGCCCGGGGTGGACGGGGGAGTCCGGAGCTGCCATCGCCCGACTCCCCACTGCTTGGCGGTTCTTCGCCTCGGGAGGTGCCATGCTCATCGAGTCATCTTCCGGCTGTTCCCGGAACCTCCAGGGGGCCCGCACCCTTCTCGCTTGACGGCCCGGCATCAAGGACTTGGGCAAAGACTGCTCGATTTAAATGACCATCCTCCGGCGTCTAAGTGCACCTACACCCGTGGTCCATGGGTACCGCTCGAGCCAGATGGGTCAATGGCTGACCCGGACTCATCTTGTGCTCAGGTGCGGCATTACATATGTGGGGTGTAGTTGTGGGCTGTCCGGGGGGTGGGTTGGCAATTGTAAATTGTTGCAGTTTTCTTTTTTTTACCCTTCCCTCCCACTCTTCTTCTCCCTGGTCCTGTATATAGTGTAAATATCGTTTTATTTCTCATTCGGGATTATTTATTGTTGTTGCTGTTGTTCTGTTGCGTTAAAAGATGGAGGCCCACACGTTTCGTGGGTTATATGTCGGTCAGCCGAGATGGCTGAGTTTCATAAAGGGGGGGGTGATGTAGAGACGTAAATAGCATCTCTACGGCTTATAAGCTGACTACAACCACAACTGGTGAATGAGTGCGCATGTACCTCTCGATGGAGCCGACGGAGACGTGAAGGGGAAGCAGGCCCTACAGAGCAGGGTCCCGTCGCAGAGAGAGAGAGGGGACATGCCGACATGGAGTAGTGTAGGGGGCCCGGAAACAGGGGCCCGGAGGACATATGACGCTGGCTCTGGTTCCATCGCGAGAGACCGAGGAAGTCGCGTGGCTGGAGGCGGAGCGAGGCCACGCTCGAGAGGATAAGAGGGACTGAGGCGGAGCGATCGTGGTTGTCTGGCGGAAAGAGCTTACCGTGCGGCGTTGCTTCGGGGGTCTTGGAGCATCGGTTGTCGGGAACTCAGTTTATGTAGAGACCTCTTTGGGGTCTAGACTAACCCCGAGTATTGTTAACCCGTTGCCCTGTTAAGTTGTTAATAAATCGTGGTGCCTCCAGACTTCTGTGTGTGCCTCATGAGACACACACTACATATACAATGCAGAATATAATCGGAGAATAATACAAACAAGGGGAATGTAAATAACCAAACAAATCGGCAGGCAATATGCCCCCTTCACATATCCGTCCCTCCACTTACAAATATAAGTATATTCACACATTCCATCAGCCACACTGCCTTCTGGTAGTGCATCATTTCAGCAGCATTGGTTCAACACAAGTAAACTCTGGACCGGTTTTGGCATTCAGTGTTTCATCAGCAGACTTGCTTGAACCCAATGCTGGTGAACTGCCATAAGATTCGAGGCAAAGACCCCCCCCCCTCTCTGTCATGGGTCCTAGTTTAGCGCACAACTCTATAATACACAACGCCGAATAAAAATAATTAGCGTCGATGTGAAGACACGGATGAGGCAACAAATACAAAGTTTAGTTCATGCAGAAATTCGCTTTCATTCATCGAAAAGCATCCACAATTTGTCAATTGCGTTCACGCGATATTTTGTGAGGCGAACGTTCGCAAACCGAGGGATACCTGTACCGGTTGACTGGTTGTGCCCAGTTACAGCACGTAATGGTATTTACAAGGCCGTAATTATAATATATTGGGGGGGACACATCCCCCCCAATATTCAAATATGCTCAAAATGTCCCCCCAATATATTGCTATAAAAATAATTGCTATGCTATGTAAATAAAAACAATAATTTGCTGAACCTTGGCCACAATAGCTGGACTTGTCTTCATATAAATCAATGCATAGATTTCTGTTTATATGATTTGGTTATGGGTTGTACTTTATTAATCCCTAATCTCTGCCATTACATACAATGAAACAAGAAATGGTAAAAAAGTAAAAACAGAACAATGTAATACAACACACCATTAGACATTATTGTAAAAAAAAAAGTCCATCCCACGTGTTAGTGAATTTTTTTATATTTTAGGTACGAAATGAGTTTTTAAATTTAGATATTTTTCTGGGTTGGGACCCCCCAGACACCCTGGAAGATTTGGTCCCCCCCAATGTTGACTCCATGGCTAAGGCCTTGGTATTTATATTAAATTTTTAGTTTCTAAAATAAGTAATATTAAAAAAAAACATGCTTTAATGAAATGTACCGTACTATTAATGGAAGAACTCCACAACTCCAGGAAGTGGCCCCGAAACTTGCCATAATGTAAGGGACCGTGGCGAATTACAGCCAACGTCAGCTTAGCGTGGACAATTACACCCAAGCCGAAACATAACATATTAAAAAGAATGTTTTAAAAAAAAATTTTATTTTATAAAACAACATCAAAATAAAGGTTGAAAACATTACCAATCAAACAAACAAAAGTCAGAAGCCAATTACAAAGTGTCCACTCCAAGTTCTACAGTAGCACTCGAGTATGCAGTAGATACTCAAGCGATTCGCTGACGTTGCTGCTGGTGCATTAATAGTGGCGCATAACACAAATCCAGACACCCTCGGCTTACAAACACAATTCGTTCCTGAGAGCCGTGGAATGGCTTGTAAGTCAGAACACTACAATGCACTGTATGTATATGCCCATGCGGTCAGTATTATGAAATTTGTTACGGTTCAATAATTTCAATTATTTCCAATAAATATTGTACACTTGCATGGAATACGTTTTAAGTTAATGTAATTTTTTAAATATTTCATGGAAGCTGGTTCGTAAGTTGGGTATTCGTAAGTCAAGGACGGCCTGTAAGAGGAAACGACTCCACACACAATAACAACACCATATGTGGCAATCAAATGGAAAAATTATACCAAGGGTGACGCTTTCGGGCATGGTGCGAAACGTCCCCTCCAGTATATTTCTCTTTTAAGGCCACACCTCGAGTACGAGCTCATAGGGAAGAACGTGGACTTTCCGAAAATGTGAGGTCACTTTCCTGGACGACCCCTTGATCTCGACTCAACCCCCCCCCCATCCACGTCCTGAAGCTGAAGACAGTGGACACAAAGCTACCACCAATCAATTTGCTTATAAAGAGAAAAGAAGCAATCTGTGTCTGTATTTATGTGGGACTTCTTTCGCACCGTACGTAGCCAACCGTGCTAATCGGTGGTGCGGGACAAAAGACATTTCCATTTATTCTTCTTCACGAACCTGCTTCCGTTCCTCTCTTAAAACAACCCCCATCTCTTCTCCCCTAGCCCATCATCATCCAGCTACGACCCCTTTCACTACCCCAACCCCTATCACTACCCCAAACCCTATCGCTACCCCAACCGCTATCACTATCCCTATCACTACCCCTATCACTACCCCTTCTCCTATCACTCTTTCGCAAATACTTTTACACATGACTGTCATACAGTTAGAGCACCAAATATACAAGATAAATAAATACATATGCTTGTTAATGTTATATCACTACCCCTATCACTACCCCTACCCCAATCACTACTACAACCCCTACCCCAACCCCTATCACTACCCCAAACCCTATCACTACCCCAACCCCTATCACTACCCCAACCGCTATCACTATCACTACCCCTTCTCCTATCACTCTTTCGCGAATACTTTTACACATGACTGTCATACAGTTAGAGCACCAAATATACAAGATAAATACATATGCTTGTTAATGTTATATCACTACTCCTATCACTACCCCTACCCCAATCACTACTACAACCCCTATCACTACCCCTAATCCTATGGCGACCACTATCACTACCCCTACCCCAATCACTTCATCAACCCCTTCCCCAACCCTTATTTAACCACTCCCACCTGTCCTCCTGTCACCATAACTACACCACTTTTTTCTTAACAACCCCACTCTTTATTTTAACCGTCATCAACTTCCATAATTTTTTTCTGTAAATATTGTAAAAGCATCTTGGACTAAGGCGCTACATAAGATAAAATGAGAAGGAGCTGCAGCACAGAGACGCGATTCTCTCAACACGAGCCAAGGGAAGTTTTTACAAACGCCCAAAAAGCATGCAAAAACGACCCCAATAAAACTCCTTTTTCGGAAGTGACCTGGCCATCACAAATGATAGCTCAACGAAGTGCCTTATCATCATCACGTGGAAATGTATAGCAGCCAAATACTGTAAAGTGTGATGTCGATTCTAAATGTGGAAGGAAAAACCGGAGTTACCTGGAGAAAAATACACGCGACTACAGGGAGAGAGAGAGAAACGGCAAACTCCAAATATACAACAGGCATCAGGGCCGGGATTAAAGCCACGACCTCCTGCATACCGAACGAGGTAGTCAACATCTCCTAGCCACCACGGGCACTTGGGAGCGCACTTAGCGCGGCACTCACCGGCAATTTGCATGCGAACTGCGTGCCGTCGAGGAGCAGCACCAAGCATTCCACCTCCTTCACCCTGCGGCTCCTGGAGACGCCGCTTAGCGTAGCCAGTTCCAAGCTCGGCGGCGCCACCCCCTCCACCGCGCCAGCGTCACCGGCCTCCTCCTTGGCGGCCTCCTCAGCTGTGGCCTCCTTGGCGGCCTCCTCGGCATCTCCTCCTCCTGCCACCACCGCCGTCGGCTGCTCCCCTCCGCTGGGCTCCGTGTCGTCGGTCGCCACCTGTTGCAGGACGCACGCGCAGTGTGACCCCTCGAGTGGCGCTCACGCGGACGAGAGCGGCCTCGCCTCGCAATGTCTTCCCGCATCCACGCACTCTCAGCAACAACAACAAAAACTATGAAATCCCACAAAACGTAGAGACATCATTCGTGTAACTATAACGTAGGTTGTGGGGGTTTTTTTCAAGCACAGGTGTCGCCTCGATTTACGAACGTTCGTTTTTACGGAATTTCGCATGAACTCAATTGACAAATTGTGGACACTTTGATTAGCGAAATCGAAATTCCGCGCAAATGAAATTTTACTACTGCCATGCATCATGAGATCACCAAACGAGAAGCCACCCGAGAGGTTGTGGCATCGTCATCTGCGACAGCGTCACGGTGTCCTTGCAGTGCAGCAGCAATGCCACTACATCGCCTTTACACTCATTGCAACATGCAGCAGATCTTTTGGTGAGTTCCCTGACAAGGTTATTTATTTTAGTTTTAAATTAATCATAATTCGATCGTTTTAATATTTATGTCCTTGTTATTTTTGTATTGTGTAAAGTGATTTAAGTGTATATTTTTAGGCTAGGGGTAGAGTAGGAATGACTGTTCGGGCCACATCCGTAATTTTTCGTATTAAATTAATAGGAGCCTTTTCGATTTACAAAATTTCGTTTTCACGCAAATTTTTTTGAAGAACTGCATCCCTTTCAATAATCAAGGGATACCCCCGTATAGTGTACTGCAGCAACATTAGCGATCCCACGTGGATGTGTGACAGCTTTGCAGGGTCCACTTACTGCGTCAGCCAAGTCAAACCTGGCGAGCGTAGCCACCGCCTTCTCCTTCTGCTCCTGCAGCTGCTCCTGCAGCTTTCCGGGCGCTCTCTTGGCACTCTCCTGAAGCTGCGGAACGATCCTCTTCGGAGTTGCCTCTTCCGTCACGTCATTCTTCTCCAGTTCTCCTTCAACCTCCTTCTCAGCTGACTTAACTCCTTCATCTTTTCCGTCCGCGTTCACCTCCGCCTGCTGTAGCTCGCTCCCTCCGCGTAACTTGTCTGCACCTCGTTTGCCGCCTGCGGACGACGACCTTGTCTGTTTGAACCAAGACGGCAGGAACCTAGAGAACCCCTTTGCGCCGCCCTTGTCCTTCTTCCCGGAGGGAGACTCTGCTCGCTTGTCCCGAGGGCTCTCTTCAGCGCCTCTCTCCTGCCCGGCGAGGTCCCCTTGCTCAATCTGAAGCTGCTCCGTGACATTCTGAGCGGCGGCCATCGCCTCCTCGCCGACCTTGACGGAAACGTTTTCCGTCATTTCCTCGTCGTTTTCCTAACGACAAGGAAATTTGAAATTTGTTAAGAGACTAAAAAAAAATGTTTTATTTGAAGACACCCATGTTGCCGATACGCCAGCACACGTGCGTTGTCTTCGCGATCGGGACCGACTGGCAACGCTCAGCGTCATTTCGACACTTGCCTTACGCAACCGTGGAGACGTCAATTTTTCCGTTTGAACCGTCCAATTTTGAAATGTTTGTACGTAGTATCCGAACACCGCCCACTGCTGCAAAAGCTCGACGCAAATTTTAATCACACGCGTACTCTTTTTGTTAAATAGAATAGCAAGTTAATTGATCGAGGCCGTTCGGCAACTTTTTTTTACTATTGTGGAGGGGTAACTAAATTGACTCTTTTTCGCTATTTGATTCTAATATGGTTCTGTGTCTATGGAAGAATGGGACTCAGCCGTACAAGACATGACACACATTACACAAGACTTGCGATGCTGCTGGCCTTAGGGACTCACTCGTATGGGACACAAACCACATTTACTTTGTCACAGGCTGCCAATTCTTCGTCGATCGTGTGAGGATCCACCTTATACCATTAATACCATAATACAAACTGGAGTTATGCCCTTTTAAATCTATGATTGAAACTATTTTTTTTTAGAACTGCATTTTGTGTTTAGTTTTCCAGGTTTTTTTTTGTTAGATTGCATAAATATCTAAATGTGTCGTTAAACTCGACACCACCCGACACAGCCAATTAGTCAGGTTTGTTACGTAAACTGAACATGCCAATTAGCCTGGCTCTCCAACACACCGGTGTGCTGTACTAGTAACGAATTGGCACGTTCTGTTCACGTGACAAACCTTAATAATGGGCTGTCCGGTGGTGGCGGGTTTAACGACATATTTATATATTTATGCAATCTAACGAAAAAACTGTATTATGGATGATACTGGACACGAAACCCCTTTCTACTCCGTGTTAAACGGTGTTTAGTTTGTTGTCCTCTTTCCCCCGTAACGCCAATTAGCGCGGTTCGCTACGTGCGAAAGAAGTTCAACAAACATACATAACAGACGTTAAGTGAAGACGGAACCGTACGAATCGTACATGTACATTCAGGCCATGGGGTTATTTGGCCATACTTCGCCATGCTGGTCAGTGCGGATTGATGAAGGCGGGGAGCATAGCGTATTGGGGCATGGTACAGTACAACAAACGATTTTACTGCGTTGCCCTGTGCTGACAACATATCCTCCAACACAGCCTATAGCACCTGTTTTATGCACGGAGGTCACCCACCCCAAATACTATCCAGGCTCAAACACTGCTTAGCTTCCGAGGTCTTGAGGGACGCTCAGCAACGGGAGGGAGGTCTCAGGGGTCAACAATCGGTGACGGGGAGAGCCCTCGACCATTTTCCTGGAGCTCGCTCCTGCAGAGCGGAGCGGAGTGATCGCAGTTACACGTGAGAAAACATCACGATTCGCGGTTCTACAACAAATATGTGGAACTGGGTAATTTGTGATGCCATTGAGAGTACATGTATAAATATGTGCGTGTGAAGCAGGGGCCACGCTGCGGCGATCCCCCACCGAGGTCGCGAGGGCGCTGAGCGGTGGCTCATCCACAAGCAGCCTGCGTTGGTGGAGTCCATAACGCAACGGCCTCCAGCAGGGGGGTTGCGAAACGCGCGCGGAGTCGAGGGCATTGCGTCACACGGCCCACTGGGCGCATCTTGTGACCCTCAATCCCAACCTAACTGCACTCAGGAAATATCCCCCTCCAGCAACACCCCAACCCAGCAACACCCCCAATCAGCAACACCTCAACCCAGCAACACCACAACCCAACAACACTCCAACCCAACAACACACCAAATCAGCAACACCCCAACCCAGAAACACCCCCAACAGCAACACCTCCACCCAGCAACACCACAACCCAACAACACTCCAACCCAACAACACACCAAATCAGCAACACCCCAACCCAGAAACACCCCAAATCAGCAACACCCTAACCCAGCAACACCCCAAATCAGCAACAACCCAAATCAGCAATACCCCAACCCAGCAACACCCCAAATCAGCAACACCCCTACCCAGCAACACCCACAATCAGCAACACCCCAACCCAGTAACACCCCAACCCAACAACACCCCAACCCAGCAACACCTCAACCCAGCAAGACCCCCACCCAGCAACACCCACGATCAGCAACACCCCAACCCAGCAATACCCCAACACAGCAACACCCCAAATCAGCAACACTCCAACCCAACAACACCCCAACCCAGCAACACCTCAACCCAGCAACACCCACAATCAGCAACCCCCCAACCCAGCAACACCCCAAATCAGCAACACCTCAACCCAGCAACACTCCAACCCAACAACACCCCAACCCAGCAACACTCCAAATAAGCAACAACCCAGCAACACCCTCACCCAGAATCACCCCACCCAGCAACACCCCCCTCAATAACACCCTAAATCAGCAACACCCTAACCCAGCAAGACCCCCATCAAACGTCCCCACCCAGCAACAACCCAAATCAGCAACACTCTCCCCCACCCCGCCCTTCCCGTAGCTACCATCCCCGTCCTCCGTTGTCATGGCGACCTCAACCCATTCCGCAACCCCGGACTCGTCGCTACACGGAGGGGGGGGGGGCTGAGGGGTATTGGGGGGGTAGGAGGATCGCCCCACCTCCTGCGCGACCCTTGCGCCATACATGGCGGATGGTGAGCCGCAGCACGGAGCTACGGCGCGAGCGAAGCCCCCTCCATCCCTCCTATCGCCTGCCCGTCCCGAATCCTCGCCGCTCACGGCAGCGCCGCGTCCCCTCAGAGCCGCGCTCGGCGCCGTTCCACTCGGCTCATTCACGCAGCCACTCGGTCATTCGTGACCTTTCGTTCCCCCACCTCATTCACTCTCTCATTCATTCGTCCCGTTACCCTGGTCCTGGGGCAAGGAGGCACGGGGGCTGTTGTCATAGCGAGCGCGCCCTAGCCCCGCCCAAGCGCCCCCAACCCCGCCCGCGCGCCCACAGCCACGCCCACGCGCCCCCAGCTCCGCCCACAGCCCCGCCCATGCGCGCATCGCCCCGACCACGCTCCCCCAGCCCCGCCCACGCACCTCCAGCCCCGCCCACACGTCCACAACACCGCTCAGTCCCGCCTATGCGGCCCGAGCTCCGCCCCCTCCACAAGCCCCTCCCACGCACCTCCAGCCCCGCCCACGCATCCCAGCCCCGCCCCTATCCCCGCCCACCCACGCACCCCCAAGCCCCGCCCACGCACCCCCAAGCCCCGCCCACGCAGTGTCACCACTTCCCACGTCCACTCGACATTGCGGGCTAATTCAATGGTGGGGTTCCGTTTTCTTTTTTTAAAAATTCCGTGATTTCCATGAGGGTTATTTCCAGCTCGTCATGTCATTTTCTGCTGCGACACGCTTGTAATCCAGCACTGTGCGGAGGTGAGGGTTTGTGGGTTCGAACGAATGTTTTGAAACTCCCTTTCCGTGGGTGTCGAGGTGCCATACCCTGGTTCGCCAGGAGAGGGCAGTAAAGCAAGTGGACTAATGGCCATCTGTACGGGGATCGAGTGTTGCCCCCTCGCGCGTGGGTTCTCTTCGGGTGTTCCGGTTTACTCTCACGCGTATAACCTCTCACCATTAATTGTCTCAAAACTTACTTTTTTGAATCCCTATGCAGGACCCTCCTGAAAACGACTACTACGACTCATTGTGGCTTTCCAGGATGAATAAGTAAATTATTATATTAATTATTATTAGTCTCGACCACCGGCCATCTCCCCACGTGCATTCCCACCGTACTGGGTCCCGGCACGGGAACGGTCCCAGGACACGGGATCGTAGCTTCACCTCCGGGATTGGGGCGATGAAGTTGATGTCGATCGTTCTTTAATAACCTCGACACTGTTGCTTCACATTCACATATAAGAGTCTTCTTTAAACAATTGATGATGATGATCTTGACAAATGGAAGGAAATGATGGATAATGATGAAAAATTATGAAAACGACGATTAAAACGATGACTGTGGTGAATATTTCTAAAGAATGAGGGCGCAATTAGACACTAAATTTGGTTGTTCTTTAGCGTACTCGTGAGCCGAAACAACTTGTTTCTTTAGAATGTTTTTTTTTATTTATCCTGGAGGAATCCGATGAGCTATGAAGCTCTTTTTTCACATATTTGCAGTAGGGGCTGGTCAGCAAGTTAAACGACAAACAGTACAACAGCACGATTGGAGTACACAGTAGAGGAAAGGTAAGCAAGTCACTAAACATAAATAAAGTGTAAAGTACAAATTGCACAAGTACCGATTTTTCAACACCAAATGCAAGCTTGGGGCAAGGCAGCACAACAACATCAACAACAGTCCCAGACCACACCAAGTCATCAACACACAATAGTAGTCCCTCAATACAATTGCACATTAACATTGAGCTTTCGATACACGGCGGGTGGAGGGTCGGATCTCATACGTTGCTCAAGCCAAACATCAACGATGAATCTCAATATTGTGTTGAACCTCACGCACGCGGAAGTTGGAACGTGTTAGGGAATCCACACATATGCATGGTTTTGCTTCCTTGTTTAAGTATCACTCGGAACAGCGAAAGGATCGACGTTTACCCTTTCCGGCAATATTACAGGTGTTAAGACGTTCAAACACCGAATAGACACATTGCAAAGCATTAAGACTGTACTGACCAACACATAGTTGTAAAAACGTGCAAACAAACGTCCTTTAATAAACGCGCTTTAACACATCTTAACACATCCTTTATTTTGATTTAAAGCTTTCGTGCCTGCAAGGATTCATATTCTTGGTTCTTTCGGTAAATTCACGTAGAAGGGAAACAATAAAATTATAAATATATGTTTTAAATATATGCTTTATATATTTGTTATATATTATATGTTTTATATATTTATTATTTTATTGTTTCCCTTCTACGTGACTTTACCGAAAGAACCAAGAATATACCTCCTTTATTATTGCGGGAAAGGCTAAACGCCGATTCTAGTTTCATCATGTTGATACACCGGCAAAAAATATGGTCCCGTAAATAAAACTGCTCAACCCGAGCTATGAACGCGTTGATATTGGCCATTCCCTCTGCGCTGTTCATCTTTTGCCGTTCCTCTCCGGGTCTAAGAAGGCTGTCTCTGGTGTTGGCCAATCAGTTTCAAAGACAATGTGTGCATCACCAGAACACGTTCGTTTTACACGTTTTACCACGAGCACGTGTGGCTAATGCAGACTTGATGCCTTGCAATAGGTATGCGGCTATTTGGTGGTTGAACATCTAAAACCACCTCTACGGGGAGGATTTCAGTTACGTTTCGTATTGTTGCCGCAAGCATTGTGGTTAATGCAGGCATGATTCCTTATAAAAGGTTTCAGTTTGGTGTTTTAACATCTTAACACCTGTTTTGTTGCCAGAAAAAGGGGAAACCTATGATCAGATATATGGACGTCTGCGAAAAATAACTTCATAGCTCATCGGATTCCCCCAATCTAAATGAAGATTCCGATTACAACAAAGGGGACTGTACCAGTGTCCCCTTCCCTGCTACAGCCGCCGTTACTCGTTTATCCGGTTCAGAATTAACCAAACTCGCCTCGGGCTTCAGCTGCACTGACGCTACAGTGGAATCTCTCTGTTTCTCTGTCTCTGTGTCTCTCCGTCTCTCTCTCTATGTGTCACCCCAAGCAGGAAGTCCAGACCGGGAGACCGTGCACGCGACTGGGCCCTCTTTAAATCCGCTGCGAAGCGTTGTTCAGAAGAGCAACTTTTTCAATCTCTACTCTTTGGTTCTATTGGGTAAAGTCACGTAGGTAATAAATAAAATAACAAAAATCACGACGCTTCGGCCACAACACAAGCGGCCTTCATCAGGTGAAGGGACGAGACTGTCTGGAGGACAGCGCTGGAGTGAAATCTCGCTTGCAACACCCTGGTCCCCCTTCCACGGGCAGTTCCGAGGGAGCGTTTCTGGGATAATCTGTCCAGACGTTTGGGTCGCCGCGGTGTTTACAATCGAGAGTATCTATGAGCACCCGTGGCCGAAGCAGGTTTAATGCGCAGGGTGGTGGACACAGTGGTAACGCTTGAGCCTCAGCAATAAACATCTGGGTTAGAGTCCAGTCTTCGGTTGCCTGCGCGTAGCTTGTACGGCTTCCTCCCACAACAAAGATCCACGGTGTAGCCTAAACAGACTTGTGGGGCAAGTGCTGTGAACGAGCACAAATGAAGGCCGAGCACCACACCCGGCTACCTTTGTTGTTTATACACCACACTAGATATTAATTTGTTGTTTTACACCACACTTGATAATAATTTGTTGTTTATACACCACACTAGATACTAATTTGTTGTTTATACACCACACTAGATACTAATTTGTAGTTTATACACCACACTAGATACTAATTTGTTGTTTATACACCACAATAGATACTAATTTGTTGTTTATACATCATACTAGTTACTAATTTGTTGTTTATACACCACACTAGATACTAATTTGTTGTTGATACACCACACTAGCTACTAATTTGTTGTTTATACATCACACTAGACACTAATTTGTTGTTTATACACCACACTTGATACTAATTCGTTGTTTATACATCATACTAGACACTAATTTGTTGTCTATACATCACACTAGATATTAATTTGTTGTTTATACATCATACTAGTTACTCATTTGTTGTTTATACATCACACTAGACACGAATTTGTTGTTTATACACCACACTAGATACTAATTTGTTGTTTACACACCACACTAGTTACTAATGTGTTGTTTATACACCACACCAGATACTAATTTGTTGTTTATACACCACACTTGATACTAATTCGTTGTTTATACATCACACTAGACACTAATTTGTTGTTTATACATCACACTAGATATTAATTTGTTGTTTATACATCACACTAGTTACTCATTTGTTGTTTATACATCACACTAGACACGAATTTGTTGTTTATACACCACACTAGATACTAATTTGTTGTTTATACCAGAATCAGAAAGGGTTTTATTCGCCATGAAAGTTCACACCGACACGGAATTTACTTTGGCAGGATGGTGCATACATTCAACATATAGGAATCTAAAATCTTAAATAAGTTTTAAACAAGTCTTACTATAATGAGGGTTAAAAGTCTAACACCAAGGGGCTGAAGTATATAAAATTGAATAAATATCGAATATAAAATAGCTTTAAGATATAATAAAAAAATACAAATAGGTTAACATAGTTAATATCGGCAAGGTGTCATTATGTAGATGAAATGTTAAAAACAGTGTAAGCCCTTGGCCTTGTTTAACAGGCCAGCAGCAGATGGGAAGAAACTGTTTTTATGGCGTGAGGTTTTGGTCCTGATGGACCGAAGCCTTCTGCCGGAGGGGAGTAGCTGAAACAGAGAGTATCCAGGGTGGGAGAAATCGGCCATAATCTTCCTCGCTCGCCTCATGGACCTTGTCGTGTGCAGGTCCTCGAGGGTTGGTAGATTGCAGGCAATTACCTTCTCAGCAGTGTGGATGATACGCTGCAGTCTGCTCTTGTCCTTGGCAGTGGCAGCAGCGTACCAGACGGTTATGGAGGAGGTGAGGATGGATTCAATGATCGCTGTATAGAATTGCACCATCATTGTCTTTGGCAGGTTGAATTTCTTCAGCTGCCTTAGAAAGTACATCCTCTGTTGAGCTTTCTTGGTGAGGGAGCTGATGTTCAGTTCCCACTTGAGGTCCCGGGAGAGAATAGTGCCCAGGAAGCGGAATGACTCTACAATTTTGACTGGGGAGTCTAACAGGGTGATGGGGGTGAGTGGGGCTGTATTCTTCCTGAAGTCCACAACCATCT